ATGTATGACAATGTAATGAGACGGACACTTTTAACATCATGCAGGTTTCTCCGATCAAATAGCCTAATCTAAACGGCGCTCAATCAAATAAAAAATGCACTGTCATGTTAACAAACAACATATCCTAAAAACAGGACAGATAAAAGTAAAATGGACAATATGGAATGGACAATCACAACTGTTGTCCAGGAGTTTCCTCCCATTGTCATGATCAGTGGTTTCAAGTTTGTATCCTTCAATTTTTGACAAGCTGATCATAGCGAAGCATGAAATACTTCTGCATTTCCTTCTGTGTAAACACATTGCAAATAGGCTCGCGATAACTCCTGATAAAGTTGGGTAGCTGATATTCAGAGGTTAAATAGCCAAATTGATTAGCCACAGGAATTAGGACAAATAAAGCCAATGCAATGGCCTGTTTTACAAACGGTGGGCCTACAACATGGATATGCATTCATAAATTCCATTGCGGGCGGACATGGTAAACTACACCCCAATAAGCACGAGCCGATGTTTTTTGGTGTTTTACAAACGGAAGGCTTACCACATAGATGAGTATTCATAAAATGTAATTTCATGCAACACTGTAAGCTACAACTCCGTAAGCACGGACCGACACAGACGCCTTTTGGACGTCATTTTTTTGGTGCAGTTCCAGTCCGGCGTTGATTTGCACATTCAGGCCAAATCTGAACCAATCATAGACTTCTTTGTTTGGTTCAGATTTGGTACGGTCCAGACAGGCCTAGATTTGGCCCAAACATCTATAAATTACTTATTTTCAACTTTCATTCAGAACCAACAATGAGCCTGATTTCAACATCCAGAAAATTACATACTTTGTAGAGCCACCTTTTGCATTACATTTGACATTTTAGTCATTTAGCAGATGCTCTTATCCAGAGCGACTTACAGTTAGTGAGTGCATACATTTTTCATACTGCATTACTCAATTACAGCTGCAAGTCTCTTGGGTATGTCTCTATAAGCTTGGCACATCTAGCCACTGGGATTTTTGCCCATTCTTCAAGGCAAAACTGCTCCAGCTCCTTCAAGTTGGATGGGTTCCGCTGGTGTACAGCAATCTTTAAGTCATACCACAGATTCACAATTGGATTGAGGTTTGAGCTTTGACTAGGCCATTCCAAGACATTTAAATGTTTCCCCTTAAACCATTAGAGTGTTGCTTTAGCAGTATGCTTAGGGTCATTGTCCTACTGTAAGGTGAACCTCCGTCCCAGTCTCAAATCTCTGGAAGACTGAAACAGGTTTCCCTCAAGAATTTCCCTGTATTTAGCGCCATCCATCATTCCTTCAATTCTGACCAGTTTCCCAGTCCCTGCCGATGAAAAACATCCCCACAGCATGATGCTGCCACCACCATGCTTCACTGTGGGGATGGTGTTCTCGGGGTGATGAGAGGTGTTGGGTTTGCGCCAGATGTAGCATTTTCCTTGAGTACCTTCTTCCATATGTTTGGGGAGTCTCCCACATGCCTTTTGGCGAACACCAAACTGCTTATTTTTTTCTTTAAGCAATGGCTTTTTTTCTGGCCACTCTTCCGTAAAGCCCAGCTCTGTGAAGGGTACGGCTTAAGGTGATCCTATGGACAGATACTCCAATCTCCACTGTGGAGCTTTGCAGCTCCTTCAGGGTTATCTTTGGTCATTTTGTTGCCTCTCTGATTAATGCCCTCCTTGCCTGGTCTGTGAGTTTTGGTGGGTGGCCCTCTCTTGGCAGGTTTGTTGTGGTGCCATATTCTTTCCATTTTTTAAATAATGGATTTAATGGTGCTCCGTGGGATGTTCAAAGTTTTTGATATTTTTTAATAACCCAACCCTGATCTGTACTTCTCCACCACTTTGTCCCTGACCTGTTTGGAGAGCTCCTTGGTCTTCATGGTGGTGCCCCTTGCTTAGTGGTGTTGCAGACTCTGGGGCCTTTCAGAACAGGTGTATATATACTGAGCTCATATGACAGATCATTTGACTCTTAGATTGCACACAGGTGGACTTCATTTAACTATTTATGTGACTTCTGAAGGTAATTGGTTGCACCAGATCTTGTTTAGGGGCTTCATAGCAAAGGGGGTGAATACATATGCACGCACCACTTTTCCGTTATTTATTTTGTAGAATTTATTGAAACAAGTTATTTTTTTCATTCCACTTCACCAATTTGGACTATTTTGTGTTTGTCCATTACATGAAATCCAAATAAAAATACATTTAAATTACGGGTTGTAATGCAACAAAATAGGAAAAACGCCAAGGGGGATGAATACTTTTGCAAGGCACTGTACCTGATTTGATGGTATACTCCTAGAACTATGGGAGAGCCTGGGCCATTTAGGAAATTCTAGCCCTACCTGGTCTGTTTTTGTCTATGGTTGTGGGTGTACAGTACATGTACAGATAAAATGTACTGTACATTTCCCTGCATATGTCAGTGTTTCTGAATACATTTATCTCTGCATCGGTGTCTCTGTATGTAATTTCGACACCATTCTTTGTGTTGTCTCTGTGTTTCTCATAAACTTGGTGTAGCCTACAGTACAGTATACATGACCCTAATGTGTCTGTGGGTCTGTCCCCTTGTCCATCCTGTTTTCTTCACACAGATCACTCCTCATGCTATACTGTACAGGGGCTATAATGGGTTAAAGATGTTTAGATGCTTTGCAGTGTGCACATTGCTCTGCTTTCATTCCTTTTATTTCCATCCTTCTCCCTTTGCTCTACCCACACATGCTCTCTCCCTTTCCCAGTACTCTATATGATATGTGATTATGTTGCTTGGTAACGGTAAAATAATAATTATGGGTAGGATTGGTACAGGCTTCTCCTGTTATGGATGATGTGTCTTCCCAACAACTGGAAGAGGGAAGCACAAACACACAACAGATACTCTCGAATACATACTTCAGCATCCTGACTCAACATGATCAAGTTATTGTTGGTACCCAACCTGTCCTGACAACCTGCCTTACCCTAGCTGTATTTAGTTTGGAACCGCAACGTTTTTTGGTATAAGTAAATATATAGGTAAATTTAGCCTAATAAAACACTTCCCTTCATATTGAGAGATGGTTGAACAGTAAGCCCAGACAGTCAAATTAAGACAATATGTCCAACAGAGGATATTAAAGTAAGTGTTCATGTTTCTAATCACGATGATTAACTGCCAAGTGCATGAAAGCCAATAATAAAAAAAGATAAATATAAGATCCAGTGTCTTTTCTCAGTCGGCTCCCCTCCCACCCATTCATTCCACCCTCCACCCCACCCACAAAGCCAGCCCACAGAGCTGCCAAGGAGTGTGGAAATGCATTTAAAACAACTGCAATCATTCATAAATATCTATGGTATATGCTATGGACAAGATAACGGCATGGAAACATCAGATGAGCAACAATATGAGAAGTTAGGCAGGGTGGGAGATTTCTGAGAAGCATCTTTTCAAGTTTCAGTTACAGTTTATAGAAGCAGCTTATCAATTTCCATATGAATAGCTCATAAGTATGATGTCTCCTGGCATCAGAGTATACTTAGCACACCAGCCAGCCAAAGACAATATTTGACTCATTCCACCATCTTTAGAAATAAGGCCATGACATAGTTGCTAATGACAACCAGCAAGACTTCTCAGCAGCTCATGTGTTTGGTATTCAATAGGCTGTGTTTACACAGGCAGCTCAATTCTGATATTTTTTTACACTTATTGGTCTTTTGACCAATCACATCAGATCGTTTCACATCAGATCTTTTTCAGAGCTGATCTGATTGGTCAAAAGACCAACTAGTGAAAAAAATATCAGAATTGGGCTGCCTGTGTGAACGCAGCCTATGAGTCTTTCTGTCACTGAGTGGTCCTCCTCTCATTCGTTGGGGTTGGTCGCCACCTGCTGTTAGAGAGAATTACAGGAGGTCTACTGTAGATGCCACTCCGCTGGTTGAGGTATTATAACCCAGTGTGGTATTACTGTGGTTAAGGCATAATGAATGCAGCTTGGAAGGAAATCATTTACCTGTTTATTATCCTATTACGAACCAAACCATAAAAAAGATGACATTCTCAATGTGTCTTCCAGTACAGCATTTTATTCATTCATACAGTATACTCATACATCATTTTGCAATTGAATTTTTCTATAAAATATATTACCTTTCAGTCCATGACAGCAGAACTAGATAGAAATAAAAGTTTCATTTAATAATAAGCAACAACTCATTTTCAAGTTTCAACCACGGCAATCAACATTCACAGCAGTCAAAATGCATAACATTCTAATAAAGACAAATTCCTTTCTTTAGTCCAGCTTAGTTTATATGAATAATACAAAATAATGTGTAACTCTGAATAATGATAATAACAATGTTCCAATGTTTGGCCCCTTGGCATTGTAGCATGACAGTGTTTTAGCAATTCTTTAAGTGCAGACAACAATGAATTTGATGTTCAAAAGTAGAAACTACCATTTGAATAGCTGCAAAACAGTTCAGCAGGTTTCTATTGAGATGACAGGAAAACAGACAGTGAAGGCAAGGTACAGACAGAGACTGACTAGTGATAAGCTGTGTGTGTTCCAATAATAATGCAGTAGGTAAGTGATGCTTGGCGATGTCCTTATCATTTTGCACTCTCAGCCATTTATCTTCCCCTCCCCCACTCTCTCTATCTGTGTCCCCTCTCTCTATAGAGTCTAGACTTTCCCTCCCATCTTTCTCCTCTTCACATTGGACAAAATGCTGCCCAGTTGTCATGACAACCCTCTGGCTGGTCGGTCTGAAGCAGCTGAATTCCATCGCCATCACAACAGCTCGCTGTTACCAGACACTGAGTTGACACTGTCTGGAAGAGCACAGAACGAGAGACATTCCTGATTACTGATTAATCTCATAAAACACGATTTAAATCAGATAATTACCAACAATGAAGTCATGTTTAAATTCTATTCCGACCAAAGGGGTGATTGAAAACGTTGCTTAGTTTGTTTCAGTCTAAACACATAAACACACACACAAATATAGCTGTATCCAAATAAATATAGCTGTTTTTATGCATTATGTATGAGAGGAAACACATGCTCACATTCACACACACATAAAGAGAGAGAGAGAGAGAGATAGAGAAAGAGAGATACCAGGATAGTCCAAGGATTTGTTTCTGTTCTGGGGTAGTCTAGGTTTTTTCACAGGGGGTTTGCGATTTGGGGGCTTCTCAAGATTATTAGGGCTATCCCTGTCAGTGCCTGGGGTAAATGAAGACAGGAAATACAAGATAACCGTCAGACAGGGTGTGATCATGAGACACATTAATACACACACACACGGACTAATACAAGCATATTTACTAACTATTGGACAATGGACAGAGACTGACAGACAGACAGAAGCATACAGACAGACAGATGTACCTGTGTCACAAGACATAGCCTTTCTGTTCCTCTGGGGTTTCACTGGGGCTTGAGGCCTCACTGCTTCCTCACCTGCACACCATAGACCACCGTCAATCATACACTGTCATACTCTTTGACTGCAATGACAAAATAATATTGGCTTAATTTGTTAATACCTTGGCTGACAGCCCTGTCAGCCAATCCCAACACTGGCTTTCTGAATGCAGATGGTGCAGGAGGCTGGATCGGCCTTTCATTGGCATACTCGTTTGGAGAAGACACATAGGATGATGTCTTTGGCTGCAAATAAATTGGGCACAAAAATCCATAAAATTATCAATTAATATCTAAACATAACCACACACATATCCACCAGTATACTAAATAATTCACATAAACAAGACAGCCAGAAGCATATGAAAAGACAGACACCTTTTCAGGAATAGGAGGAGGCTGTCCCTCTGCATCTCTATCTCTCTCTTTCCTTTCCATTCTTCCACCATCCCTCTCTCCACCTGCTTCCTCCTCGGCCCCTGAAGATAAAGATGGAGTAATAATATCACTCTGCGATATTATAAATAATGAAACAGATACATTAAATCAACACGGTATGTAAGAGAAGGGTGCAGTACCAGAGCTCTCCTGTAGATGTCTCTGTCTCAGTTTGGACAGGTTGGGTTTGCTGCTCTTGGGAGGAGGGTCTGGTTTAGATGCACTCGTAGAAACCCGTCCAGGGGGAAACCCTTCTCCACCCTTCCACCCTTCCACCTGTCCTACAGCAGTGTCTGAGCGCAGATGTCTGTCCGTCTGTGTGTCAGAGTAATTCTGTCTGTCCATGGTTGCCTCCATGTTTTTCTGGGAGTCAGTCTCACTTTTAGGTGATGGAGTCCTGTCTGATAGGTAAGGGGGCAGAGGTCTCTGAGCTAGATGTTGTCCCTGGGCTTGTCTGTCAGTCTGTCTCCCTGACTGCCAGCTGTCTATCCACTGTCTGTCTATCTGTATGTCTGTCAGTCGACCCTCTGCCCACGTTCTGTCTGTCTGTTTTCTGCTCACCGTCCACTGTCTATCTCGATCAAACTGTCTGTCGATCTGTCTCTGTGTGTGTCTGTCAACTATCCATTGTCTGTCCGCCTGTCTGTCCTCTGTCCACTGTCTGTCTGTATCTGCAGGTTGCTCGTGCTCTGTCTCTAGCTCTGATGGCTGTAAAAAACACATAGGAAAGATAAGAGATATTATAATCATGAATTCATCAACCAGTACTAGGCAACAGGATATAAGATAAACAGAGTAGCAGCAGCTTATGTGAGTGGGTCTGCTGGTGTGTAGAGTCAGTATAAATGTGTATATTATGTGTGTGAGCAAATGATGGAGTGAGTGTTTGTGTGTGTGTTGGATTGACATTGTGTATGAGTGTGTAGGGCCCCATGATTGTGCATAGATACAGTGCAAAATATTAAATAAAAGGTCAATAAAGATACAAGGTTAACTCAGTCTGTGTAGCTATTTTGTTAGCTATTTATCAGTCATATTGCTTGGGGATAGAAGCTGTTCAAGAGCCTGTTGGTGTCAGACTTGATGCACCAGTACTTCTTGCCGTGTGGCAGCAGAGAAAACAGGGGGAGTGTTAATGTACCACAAGTGATACAGCATATACTGTACCTGGCTGGGTGAGTAGAAGGGGTGTCTGCTGCCTGGTGGTATGCTCTGCACTGGCTCCTCCCCCCTCTGGTCCTCCACCTCACCCCCCTCACCAGGAGAGCCTGCCCTGGCAGCAGAGTGAGCGGGCTGCAGCAGCGTGTAGACATTCTCAGTGGCTGTCCTGAGAGAGAGAGAGAAGAGGACAGTCAGAGAAACAATGACAGAGTCAACCAAGAATTTGCTCTGTGGCCCCTGGATTGTATTTGATTTGGTGTGGACAACAAATGGGCCTGTTTTTCTAACCCAGCAGGCTATGTTATAGTAATGTTATAATATTGGGATAGAACATATAAGACTTGCATTATTTTGACATCTTTATTCATTTACTGCATCACCACAACCATTCTGCTGTCATCTATGTACACACACTGGTGTCATCTGCTGCCCATACGGAAAAACCACATGAATTTCACATGTGATCTTATGTGAAGTTAATGTGATAACACGAAACTTGGTATTTTGTTAGGATCCCCATTAGCTGTTGCGAAAGCCGCAGCTACTCTTCCTGGGGTCCACACAGAACATGAAATATGACATAATACAGAACATTAACAGACAAAGAAATCTCAAGGACAGAACTACATCAACTTAAAAATGACACACAGCCTACATATCAATACATACACTCAAAATATCTAGGTCAAATAGGGGAGAGGCATTGTGCCGTGAGATGTTGCTTCATCTGTTTTTTTAAACCAGGTTTGGGGTTCATTTGAGCAATATGAGATGGAAGGGAGTTCCATGCAATAATGGCTCTATATAATACTGTACGCTTTCTTGAATTTGTTCTGGACCTGGGGACTATGAAAATACCCCTGGTGGCATGTCTGGTGGGGTAAGTGTGTGTGTCAGAGCTGTGTGTAAGTTGACATGTTAAATCATGTGGTGTTTCTGTAAGGGTGTGCTCTCCGGCAGCATGGCCATTCCTCATGTCAACACAGAGCTGCATCCCAGCACTCAATTAGACTAATAGCACACAGGGCCCACAGAGCATGCACTTAATGCTCATCACTCTAACAGAGGGACAGAGAGAGAAAGAGAGAGTGAATGAGAGAGATACATTCATAAAGTAGTGGGTGGTATGTTATAAAGTGACAGTGAAGACTATGCCACCCTGATATATATCATAATGTGCAGATTGCAGCTGCATATATCATACTACATGGGAGAGTGTGTATGATACTGAGGATTCACAAACCCTGTCGGTGCCGTGGCGACAGTGCGACACTCTTCCCCACACCCGTCTCTGCCAGACTCTGGCCCCTGATTGGAGAGCGTTGAGTTGCGGTTCCTACGGAAACCAAAGATGGCCAGCATATTGCGTCTTTTCTTTCGCCTGAGAGAGTGGGCTTTATGGAGAGAGGACAACTGACTGATGGAGAGGGCAGAGAGAGATGAGGGGAGCAAAACAGGAAAAAGAGAAAAAGCAGATGTTATGAGAAACTGACCATAGCTATGCTGTAAAAATACAGTATGTCTATATTACATATTTCTGTTCAGTTTGTCCCTAGTCAGCACCTGCACTTTTTCTTATTGTCTCTGTCATCAGACCCCCATACACTCCTAGAAAAAAGGTGCTATCTAGAATCTAAAAGGGTTCTTCAGCTGTCCCCATAGGAGAAACTTTTGAGGAAGCCTTTTTGGTTCCAGGTAGAAACCTTTTGGGTTCCAGGTAGAAACCTTTTGGGTTCCAGGTAGAAAAGGGTTATCCTATGGGGACAGCCGAAGAAGACTGTATGTTTCTCTGGGCTGCTGCCTCTGAAACTTAATAACACTTCCCAGCAGCAAGGGGCGTTGCTAGGATACCACTCCTGGCACACAATGCTTTTCCAGAGTGCATTAATTTAGAAATATGTTTAACAGTAAATGTAATAATACTAAAAGCATCTACTTAACAAGATGATCTGCTGTGTGGGTATACTTTAGCATGGACCAGCATTACTCTGCCAGTCTGTGACAGGTGGAGACGATACTCTCTAAAACTATTACTAAAGGCAGAGCTCACCTAAAGTCCTTATTCTGAAAGTAGTCTATGGACTGATGGAAAGTAGGGCCTATGCTAAATGACTTAGGCTGTAGTTTCTTTGGGTGATTCATGTAATTTAGATCATGCATATGGTGTGCTATTCACTCTTATTGCCTTTTGGTCATTAGAGAGAGAGAAGGGTAGAGAGAGAGAGAGGTGTGTAGGAGGGGGGGGGGGGGGGGGGGGTCTACCTATCAGGGAGGACTCTCTTGGTGTAGAAATCTGGGAGTCCATGATCAAGAGGGGTGAAAGCTCCATTTTCATTGCAATGCTGGGGACAGAGAAAAACACCCATATTTCAGATTGACCATACAGATAGATGTAGGATCTTAATTTGACCAGTTTCTCACAGCAGAACAATTATCTTGCAGCAACATGAAATGTGAATTATTATGTGCATTATAATTAACTGACATTTTTGTAGGGGTTGATACATTTTTTGTAAGGGAAAATCAAGTCTGAAATTTCAAAGTGGAAATTACAAACTTCAGAAGCCTTTTTAAACTTCAAATACACTACAAGTTTTACATTTCCTGCATTGAAGGAAAATTCTCCTGCACAGGGTGATCAAATTAAGATCCTACATCTGTCCTAGTCTGATACATCCACGATTTCATATGGAGAAATAAAGAGTGATTTCCCACTAACACTGTAAGCACTTTTTTGGGGGGGCGGGGGTGGGTACAGTTTCATTTTTAAAATGTTCTGTTATTAATAATACAAATGGATTATACTACGTAGCTTTGGAGAGATGACTTAACCCAATTGGAGTAATTCACTTAGTATAGACAACCCTGGACCCAATCATCCTGAAAATAGAGCAGCATGCTGCCACTGTCGGGAGGCCCCAGTATTTGGGAATATGCGATGGGAATTAAACATTTTTGTATTATCATTATGTTAATCATATTAATAATCGCCCTTATGGAATAGAATATGTGCATGGGCACACGCACATACGCACAGCACAGTGTTACAAACCTGTATCAATATTCATATCTGGTTTATTTAATAAGCAAATTAATATAGCCACAAGTTATAAATTGTGCTTGTATCATAAGGGAATATTATCTTCTTAGTTGTCATTATATATGCTAATAACATCTGTATCCTGTGTTATTAATATGGAAGTATCTCTATGTTACTCTATGAGTTTTTAAAGTTCACATATCTTTAACTATGTGTTGCCATATCAGTATCTCCTTAAATGTATAATTTATTAGCTAATAAATCTACGTCTTTACTCTTCTGCAGTCAAATGAGAAATCTACGTGAATCTATAAATTATTATAGATCCTGTATTTCCATATTCACAGTCAAGCATTACAAACAGTCTGAGCAGTTCAGTAGTAACTTTATACACTGCTCAAAAAAATAAAGGGAACACTAAAATAACACATCCTAGATCTGAATGAATGAAATAATCTTATTAAATACTTTTTTCTTTACATAGTTGAATGTGCTGACAACAAAATCACACAAAAATTATCAATGGAAATCAAATTTATCAACCCATGGAGGTCTGGATTTGGAGTCACACTCAAAGTGGAAAACCACACTACAGGCTGATCCAACTTTGATGTAATGTCCTTAAAACAAGTCAAAATGAGGCTCAGTAGTGTGTGTGGCCTCCACGTGCCTGTATGACCTCCCTACAACGCCTGGGCATGCTCCTGATGAGGTGGCAGATGGTCTCCTGAGGGATCTCCTCCAGACCTGGACTAAAGCATCCGCCAACTCCTGGACAGTCTGTGGTGCAACGTGGCGTTGGTGGATGGAGCGAGACATGATGTCCCAGATGTGCTCAATTGGTTTCAGGTCTGGGGAACGGGCGGGCCAGTCCATAGCATTAATGCCTTCCTCTTGCAGGAACTGCTGACACACTCCAGCCACATGAGGTCTAGCATTGTCTTGCATTAGGAGGAACCCAGGGCCAACCGCACCAGCATATGGTCTCACAAGGGGTCTGAGGATCTCATCTCGGTACCTAATGGCAGTCAGGCTACCTCTGGCGAGCACATGGAGGGCTGTGCGGCCCCCCAAAGAAATGCCACCCCACACCATGACTGACCCACCGCCAAACCGGTCATGCTGGAGGATGTTGCAGGCAGCAGAACGTTCTCCACGGCGTCTCCAGACTCTGTCACGTCTGTCACATGTGCTCAGTGTGAACCTGCTTTCATCTGTGAAGAGCACAGGGCGCCAGTGGCGAATTTGCCAATCTTGGTGTTCTCTGGCAAATGCCAAACGTCCTGCATGGTGTTGGGCTGTAAGCACAACCCCCACCTGTGGACGTCGGGCCCTCATACCACCCTCATGGAGTCTGTTTCTGACCGTTTGAGCAGACACATGCACATTTGTGGCCTGCTGGAGGTCATTTTGCAGGGCTCTGGCAGTGCTCCTCCTGCTCCTCCTTGCACAAAGGCGGAGGTAGCAGTCCTGCTGCTGGGTTGTTGCCCTCCTACGGCCTCCTCCATGTCTCCTGATGTACTGGCCTGTCTCCTGGTAGCGCCTCCATGCTCTGGACACTACGCTGACAGACACAGCAAACCTTCTTGCCACAGCTCGCATTGATGTGCCATCCTGGATGAGCTGCACTACCTGAGCCACTTGTGTGGGTTGTAGACTCCGTCTCATGCTACCACTAGAGTGAAAGCACCGGCAGCATTCAAAAGTGACCAAAACATCAGCCAGGAAGCATAGGAACTGAGAAGTGGTCTGTGGTCACCACCTGCAGAACCACTCCTTTATTGGGGGTGTCTTGCTAATTGCCTATAATTTCCACCTGTTGTCTATTCCATTTGCACAACAGCATGTGACATTTATTGTCAATCAGTGTTGCTTCCTAAGTGGACAGTTTGATTTCACAGAAGTTTGATTGACTTGGAGTTACATTGTGTTGTTTAAGTGTTCCCTTATTTTTTTTTGAGCAGTGTATATTCCATATGGGGTGAGATGCTGAGATCAGCTTCCTCTTACTGTGTCAGAGGGGGCGTGTCCTGCTCGGTGCCTCCGTGGGGGCCTCGGCCTAACCCGTGTCACATGATGGAGAGGTGCACCCTGGGTAGGGAGCGCAGACAGCCCCTCCCAGGATGCAGAGCACGAGAGGGCCGAGAAAGAAGAGAAAGAAGAGGACGGTGGGGAGGAGCTGGAGTCATCACACAGGCCTGAAAGAGAGAGAGAAAAAAGATGGAAAGATGACGAGATCAAAGATAAATGGAGAAGGAAGTGGAGAGGGGATAGAAGTTCCCATAGGAGTCATGTGGCGCTGTCATCTGTGCTTCAAAGACATACTGTTTAAAAACTACAACAATTAGCAACTTCACTCAAACATGTTGATGCAGGAATGGGCTTCGGCTGGCATGAACACCAGCGATTAATGGCTTTCTCAGAGGGAGAGGAAAGGAGAGAGAGGGAGAGGAAAGGAGAGAGAGGGAGAAAGGAGAGAGAGGGAGAAAGGAGAGAGAGGGAGAAAGGAGAGAGAGGGAGAGAGGGAGAGAGGGAGAGGAAAGGAGAGAGAGGGAGAAGAAATGAGAGAGAGGGAGAGGAAAGGAGAGAGATGGAGAGAGGGAGAGGAAAGGAGAGAGAGGAAAACAGACACAGCAGGACACAGTCACTAATGACCTCTAAAAGAGAGCAGGGAGGAAGAGAGAGAGAGGGATAAAGAGATAGAGAGATAGTGGGACGGAGGCAAACTCACTAAGCCTGGTAGAGACGGGTCGTATACGTCTAGTTCTAGAGCTACGCTTCTTAATGGCAAGTGTGTCCTAGAGAGGGCAGAGAAAGATGTAAAAGCACAAACACACACATCCCAAACAAACAATCACAAAACACATATGCTCACTCACTCACACATACCATACACACACCCTAGGCAGACGATCCCAACACACAATGCTCACTATACTGGTGCCCATCTCATCGTCTGTGATGTCCAGAGAGTCTCTGTGTCTGTGTGACCTCAGACCTGTTCCTCCGTCACATGTCACCTCACAGCGCTTCACCTGGGACACCTGACGTGTCTGGGACAGGGAGCAGACATTACACATGAATAAATGTATTATGAAGGTTGATATGAATAATACTGCAACACTCATAAAGGTGTTCTGACAGGTTTCATAAGGGTGTTATGAAGGTTTCTATGAATGATACTGCAAAAGTGTAATGGTGTTATGAATGCCTGTACACCCCTTCAAGTAAAGCTTTACCAATAATTATAAGCTAAAGGTGACAGGCCCATATAGATAGACAGACACAGACAAATGGCAGCATGTCTATACCAGGGTCTTGTGGGTGGCGTAGAGCTCCTGCAAGATCTGATCTACAATGGAGTTGGTGAGGTAGGAGACCACTGAGAGCTTCACCTCCCTGAGAGAGGGGGAGAGAGACAAAGAGAGTGGGGAGGAAAGGGAGAGGGAGGGCCGGGCAGAGAGGAGGGGGAAGAGAGTATGATAGAATGACTTCACAGATACCCAAAAAATAAGGCTGCATTGCTTATCTTCCTCCCTCAGCTCTCCCTCCCTCCCTCCCTCCCTCACTCCAGCACTCGGTGAATGTCCTGTTCTGCTCTCTCCATCAAGGCTGTGCGGATGGTGGAGAGAGGGATGGAGACGCGCTCCGAGACGGACGAGAGCGGAGGACTCAATCTCTCCGCTGCAGAGGAGGACAGCGGGCACAGCTCACGACAGAGAGACACCATGGAGTCAACAATCACCTGTCAATCAATCAAACAACCAATTAAACAAATCAAACAAATAAACAACTATGTATTTGATTCAGAAATGGTGAAGGAGTAAGTAAACAGATTATGTTGAATAAGTGATGTACAGTATTGAGGAGTATACCTGTAGTTCCTTGTCAGCTGCTTTGGCCAGTTCTCCTGCCAGTGAGTCCAGTCTCTGTCTGACTGGCCCGTCTACTGACAGTACATGAGCTAGCTCACAGAGAGAGGGGTACAGCTGAGAGAGCGAGAGAGAGAGAGAGAGAGCGAGAGAGATACACACAGAGAGAGAGGGACGGTTGGGGGGGTCATATGAATACACAAAGACATATAATGAACACTTTAAAACTCACCTAAACTCCAGATGTTAGAGAAATTATTCAGGCATGTACACACACACTCACCGCACGGGAGTTCCTGGCCTCCTTCAGCACTTGTTTAGCAGCTTGAATATCCTCCATCTCCCCTACTCCACGAAGCACACACACCTGCTGTAGCACCCGCACAGTCAGACGCTCCATCACCTGGGAAACAGAGAACAGACAAGCAGGAGGAACTTCATTAAAAGACATACAGGTTTACAATACACACATATTGCTCTAGTGATGTCTCAACTCACTGTCTCTCAATCACACACGACTAATATACATATGCTGTATCTACCTGTTCAGCAGTGCTGGTGACCAGGCCCTGGTGCAGCCGTAGAGCCTGTCTCTGAGAGAAGCGCTGAGTCTGGTTGTTCCGCAGCAGAGCACGCTGGATCTGATGACCACAGATAAAAACCATTCACTCACACTGGCAATACCTACTGGCAATACCGTCATGTGTGGTAATGTCAATGATGCAGTGTAATTTGAAATGGAAAGAGCAGGAAAGGGTTGGTGATGGTAGATGCCAAGCAGAGAAAAGAAGCAGGGGAGGAAAGGACAAGGCAGATGAGATTAGAGGATGGTTAACAGAGGAATGGAGGGAGGAATTGAGATGGGTGCAGATGGACTCAGGTAGCGTCAGGAGCCCACCTTGGTCAGTGCCTGCTCTGTCCTCTCGGGGGTACTACGGTACGCCTGGCTGATGTCACTGAGGGGGAGGGGCATGTACTGCAAGGTGAAGTTACTGAGAGAGAACACACCGGCAGAGTTAAAAGAAAGAGAAGGGGTTTGAGTTAGGAAGGAGACAGAGAAAGGAAGGAAATAGAAAAAGAGAGCTGCAGAAAACGGAGGTAGAGACCTAAGGCTTAATACCCCCAGTGGACAGAACTTCCAAAATCCCCCCCGCATGATGCTGGACTATGGCACTGTGATAGGATGAGTAATGCTTTGATTATTGCAGCCTGATTAAGGGGAAGTCTAAGTTCTCTGGCTGACCCTCACAAGTATGTGTTTAGTCCTGTGTGTGTACAGTAAGCTAGGTTTGGTTCCTGTGTACCTGAGTTGATATATTAGCCAGCTAATTCTGAAAATACTCAGAAAAACAGGGAATGTAAATTAGACAGAACATCAGGCATCCCCATGTCTCTTGGATCCTATTTATATAAAATGTCTTGCTTAGAAGTCTGTGTGTATGTGTGTGTGTGTGTGTGTTTGTGTGTGTGTTTGAGGCACAAACAGTCTCACTGTTCAAGGGCTCGAGCCACATCCAGGAATCCTGTAGCTGAGGTGTTGTTACGATCCCATGTCACACTCCTGTCAGGACAGGGGAGAACCAGCGTCAAACACAACCATACCTGACAATACCTTCTATCTCTTTCCCTCCCTGTCTCTGTCTCTTGCCTGAGTGTGGTGTTGATCTGCAGGGCTTTGCTCAGCATCTTGGCTCCAATGTCCTCCAGGCTGTTCCCACTCAGGTCCACCTTACGCAGACAGGTGTTGCTGCCCAGAGCGTTTACCAGCACTGTGCCCCGAGAACGCAGCCGCGAGTCAGCCAGGGAGAGGGACTGGAGGGCCTGGGGAGGGACAGGGAAGAGGGGAGAGAAAGGGTGAGGATGGAGGGTGACGGGAGAGGGCAAAACAGAAGGGAAGGTAGGGTGAGGGGTAAGGGTGGAGAGCAGGGGAGAGGTAAAGTAGAAGAAGAGGGTAGGACAGAAACATAAAGGAGAAGGAGATGACAGTGAAGAGAGACGGTTAAATAATGCTGGGAACAGGTGGCAGCAGTGCTGAGGAGGAACTGAGGAACTCAGCATTTGTAATAGAGTGATGTGTCATAGTTTTGTACACAAAGGGAATAATTCAGAGGGCACAATATGTTACAGCCCACAGTAACAGTGCCATGGAGTGATATACTCTAAGGGAAACACTATACTGTAGAAAATAAAGAGTATGTATGAGAGAGTACCATGTAAAATACAGTCTGTGTGCCTGGAGAATATCAGTATTTGACCATGAGTTTCAGTACAATCAGTGAATATTCAATTGAGTGATATATTGTGTGAATGATGTGTGAATTGTGACGCATTCTCACTCACACACTCCTCCTCCTGTATGAGTTGGACCAGCTTGTGTAGGATTTCATCCAGCACCCTGTACATGGATCCATGAGGAGAGAGGGAGTTCAGGCTACACTCAGCAGGAGCTCTGGCACTAGTCATTTCCTGCTGCTATCGTAATCATCCCAGTCTGCCTGAGGAAAATCAAGCTCTGATGCAAACTGATGCACACACACACAGTGTGTCTCTGTAGTACTGTACCTGCTCTTGATGTTGAAGTTCTTGCCCAGATACAGGTGCTTTAGGGAGGTGTGTCTGGAGAGAGCTGGTAGAACTGAGAGAAGGTCTGCATCCAGCCCTGTAAACACAACTACATCAAACACAGACAACCCCCTCACACAAAACTAGCTTGAGTGGTGCAGGCTGCCACAGAGGTGCAGAGTGCCAGCGTGTGCCACAGTGGTGCAGTCTGTCATTCTGCTCACCGTTGTCTGAGATGTCCAGCGTGGCGATGGAGGAGAGCCTGGGGAACAGCTCCTGGATCACAGAAGCTCCTGCAGATTTCAGCTGAGACAGACAGACAGACAGACAGACAGACAGACAGACAGACAGACAGACAGACAGACAGGCAGACAGGCAGACAGGCAGACAGGCAGACAGGCAGACAGGCAGGCAGACAGGCAGGCAGACAGGCAGACAGGCAGACAGACAGACAGACAGACAGACAGACAGAGAGAGAGAACATGTGTGAGAGGAGGAGGACCTTCAAAGCACAATAAGAGGAGACCTTGAGAAAACATAGTTTCCATCTATAGCTACTGCACAGTAAGTCCTTATTGGAAACATAAGCAATGAATGCCAGAGAGATCGATATGGTAAATTATATAAAGGCTAGCAGGAATTGAATGTTCTGTGTGCAGAGTGACAGACTTGTACCTCACAGCCACTGATGTCCAGGTGTAGGTCATTAATGTGAGGGTTTGTGGTCAGACCGATGAAGAGAGACCTAAAGAAAGTTAAACATAAGGGGAAAGTGTATTTACTTACAACAAAGACCTTTTCGCTATTTTCTCTTTCTGGAAATTCACACCCTTTAACGTAGTGTCAATTGCCATGGTGACCAATGCGTGTTGTGCGGAAAGCCTGGCCCCAGTCACTCCAGTGAGCTGCAGGTGTGAAAGAGAGAGAGCAGGGGAGAATAAGGGAACTGACCTCAGGGCCTCAGGCGGCAGCTTCATCGAGGCCAGGCTGACATGAGTGAGACTGAAAGCCGAGCTGAAGAACTGACGGAACAACGGCAGGGTCTCCTTCACTTTCCTGGGAGAGGAGAGAGGTCAGAGTGAGATTAACGAGAGAGGAGAGGAGGTAGAGATAGAGAGTGGGAGGGAAAAGCGATAGAAGGCGAGTGGTTATTTGTTGATAGTCAGGATAAATAAGAGACTGGTATGAAGTGGAGAGAGTATTCAGATTGAATGAGAAAGAGAGAAAATGGAGTTGGCCAAAGAGGAGGGTGCAAGTGGGGTCAGATGATAAATAGCTCTGCTTCCTATTCATGAGTCTTATCTATGCAGACAGCTCTAGGAGTTTAAAACGACAGACACAACCACAGAGAGGAACACAATGTTCCAGTGATTCCCACAAAGCTTATTTTTTATTTCACATTTAAGGGAACGACAGAGATAAGACAGATAGAGTGAAAAGAAAAAGAGAGCGAAAGATCAAGCCTGAGGATGTTTGAAGAAAAAAAAAAATCAGCGTTCTATCTTCACGCCGAGCCTCAAAGCGTTTTTCTGCCACATCACACCAAAGAAATAGTTAATCTCAAGGATGTGACTAACCTGTGGGAGAAGGAATTTTTGGAGAGATTCAAGTAGGAGAGATCGGCACAACACCCCCTCAGCAGATCCCCAAATAGCTACGTGAGAGGCGAGAGTTGTGTTGTGCAGTTTTAGTGGGAGAGAGAGAAAGATAGGGGTTGGGGATTATAGAGGACGAAAAAGAAACACAGAATGAAAGAAACTCTTGAAATGCTTAATTCTATAAGCGTGCAATCAAATTCTCAGAAACGCTAGATTCTCACAGAGTCAACAGAACAGTCAGTGCCAGACAGGTCCAAATGGACCAGACAATTAGGCTGGGACAGGAAATGGTACAGATTCTAAAGAGAGAGAGAGAAAATATGGTTATGTTAAACTGAGAAACTGATGCATAAGGCATCTGCAGTGCATTTATTATACTGTTGATTTGTTTACAGAGTATGAGTGTATGTCTGTGTGTGTGTGTGTGTGTTTTCTGACCGAGGCATCCTCCCCAGACAGGACCCCAGGGTTCTTGCTCAGGTCCAGGTGCAGCAGAGAGTTAGAATACTCATCACTGGAGCACAGCGCCTGAGACAGAGACACCACACCTAAGACACACAGAGAGACGGAGGGGGAAGCCATGAGAGATGCATCTAGCTAGCTAATGCAAATTGACACAGTTATCCCCAAAGATAAAAAAAAAAACAGTTTCAGAATATTTTTAGTTATGTGATTCTCATCCGCACCTGTGTGAAGTATAATTCAATATTCAATATTCAGTATTCCAATTCTAAATATTTAAAAAGTGGTGGAGTAACACAGAGCATTCCCCCTGAAGGATGGTTACCGTGGGGACACATCATGAATTTTGAAGCTGTTGTATAGTACACAAAACATTACGTTAACACACAGAGATGTTGGTGGGGGAATTGCAGGAGGTACAGAGGTTTATATCACCTCAGTTAGAAATCTAGCATGCATGCATGGTTTAGTGGCATGTTCAATCAGCTATTGCTGCTTCATAAAACCCAAATACAGATGGAGGTTTTCATTAACTGATTCTCCAGCTGACTGTCCCTGCCTGCTGAATTACTGCCTTGTATTAATGTCAGGGGACACTGAGCTGTAGAGGAGGATGCTTCTGCAACATGGAGGAGGACAGCGGCGTCGGGCCTTCTCTCCGGGTGGGGCTGGTAGAGAGGTGAAGCAGTCCAAACCTTTGGAGTTGAGGGAGGTCTTGGAGAGGTTGAGGAGACGCAGTCCTTTGCTGAGGCGACACACCTGCTGGATGAGGTTAGCCACACCTACACCAGAGGAGAGAGAGAGAGTGAGGAGAGATGTCACTAAAACAGACATAGTGAGGAAGTCAAACTAGTGTGGAAGTCAAACAGGAACTTAGGCATCTGCTTGGTACCTTGGTTGTCCAGTGTGTTGTGGGCCAGATTCAGAGAGTGGATGACAGAAGCAGGATTCTCTGAGAGCGCAACTGACAGCTTCTGCGGAAAGTCACTGCAACATACACAGTACACACATTTGGACATATGTAGAAACAATGACACACACAAACACTCTTATTTCTTATTCTTTAAAAAAGTATGGGAGAGATGTGTGAAGCAAGGGAAAACTTACGATTTGAGACCAGCATTCTCCAGAGTGATCTCTTCCAGACTGGAGGACTTACTGAGCGTGTGCAGAACCTGCTCAGTGACCTCTGACCCCTGACATGAGAAATGATCTAATTTCATTACACGCATAATAACTTCTGAATAATATCAATTACCATTGAAACACAAGGAGAGACAGACAGAAGGATACTTACTATGCGTAGGTCCTTACAGTATAGTTTGGTGAACCAGGTGTTGTATGCCATTGAGGCCACAATAACTGCCAAGTCCCTGTCATAAACACACAACAATTACTGTTTTGAAAGAGGTACATTTCATAATACCCTTAATATAAATTTAGCAACTGGATTTATTAAGGCTGTAGCAGCATCAATTTGATAGTGTCCTGGCCTTCCTTCCTTCCTTCCTTCCTCCCCCCCCCCCCCCCCCCCCCCCCCTTTCTCTCACCTGCTCTCCAGGTGGCTGAAGTCCACTAGATTAAACTCCCTGTTGTCTTGGGAGTGATAGATAGTGTCCACATCCTAGGAACAAGATTACCCATGAGTCCACTTGCTATAGTATATGACCCCCTCAATTGAAAGTACAGTGTTGTATATAACTCTCCAGTGCACTCACACACAACCGGCCCACTCCCATAGCGCTTACCCACTGCACTTCCTCCTTGCAGCTGATTCCATTATAGTCACACAGGGCAGCGTAGGTCTCTGAAAACCCTCCTGAGACAGACAGAGAGGAAGAAAAATAGCGGATGGTGAGAGAGAGAGAGAGAGAGAGAGAGAGAGAGAGAGAGAGAGAGAGAGAGGAGGGTTTTAAAGAGCAGGTGGTTATTTCAGAGAGAGAAAGAGGGAAAGAAAGAACAAGCAGTGCAATTCCTCTACAATGTCTGTGTAAATAGAGAGTTGAGAACCTGGCTATCTTAAGATGAATGCACTAACTGTAAGTTGCTCTGGATAAGAGTGTCTGCTAAATGACTAAAATGTCAAATCTAAATGTAATATACACTGTATGTAGTGCAGTGGGTTTCTCTATCCATTTGTCTCAATCAAATTACTCAACAATATCCTTTGACTGTCTATCATCTTCGAGAATCTGTCTCATATGCACAGGGCCATGAACAGACCTTTCAAGGGGCATGTGCTCATAATTCATATCTCGAAATGTATAACATACCAAATGTCTCTGTAGCAAAAATGTTAACATTTTTGAGCCTAGGCCTATTTATTTCTGCAACAACACACTCAGTCATCATCACACATAAGCAAGCTAGTTACAGTGCCTTATGATTGACATCGGGAAAAGAGGGTGGTCAGCTGATCGTTGATGATTGATTTAAATCTGCTAGTTAGATTGTGATAAATCTTCAATGCTCGAATCAAATAATAACTTCATAATATAATATTCATAATCTTCTAACTCATGATATATGGCTAACTGGCTAGTGGCTTGTGTGGATATTTTAGTATATGGTGGTTAGCTAGAGTCTAGACTACCTGCGTTGCTGCTGCCCTGACATGTGCCACTCCCGACTGAAGAAGTGATGGAGTTCAGTCGGAGGGTTGTTGATGCAGCCGCTCCTCTCTCTGTCTTTCTGCCTCTCTGCAGCGCTTATCAGCCAACCAGACCCAATATTGATGATGATGTAGGCTGAATCAAGTGTTATCAAGTGTTAATCAAATGTTATGCTACTGTGGCAGTAGATAGCTAAACACACATTTGACCGGTGACCGTATCTCTCAAGCCATGCATGTTTGGATACCAGGCGCGCACAATCTCCGTAAAGGGAAGACTGGGAAACAGGCACAACCGGGCGCGAGGAAATGACTTCCGAACAACAATGACAAAATATATTTATATATTTTTTTTTTTAAGCGGGGAAATTATACCACCACCCAAAAGGGCAATTTGGAGACTGGAAAGGCAAAGGGGCATGTGCTCTGCACAGGTAGAGCCCTATCTGTGCACGTGCCTGCTTATGCTGTGTGTCTGTCTGACTGTGTGTGTGTCTGTATACCTGCCTTCCTGCCTGTGCGTCTCTTACCACAGGCCCTCTGGGTTTCCACAGACGTCTCTGAGCTGGGGGAGTACTTCTTGCTTCCCTCAGAAAGGTCACTGTCTGAATGACAGATGGAGGGACTGAGAGAGAGAGAGAGAGAGAGGGGGGACAAAGGAGGTTTAAGTTAGAAGGGACATAATAGCTTATCATTTGTCTGGGTTTCAACACTGTCTGGTAAAGGAGTCTGTGCTGTCTGAAAATGGACACTTACGCAAACACAGAGTTGTTAAATATTCTGGACAGGGCAAAGTTAACGTGGCTGACCACATGATTGAGGTGGTCACGTGACTGAAGCCTCAAGGAATAAGTGGACTTGTCCGTGTCTATGACGACCTGCACAGAAACAGCATAGTTTCAATGACTGTAGAGTGATACAGGCACCACAGTGATTTTGATGGCATAATGCTGAGGTTTGAAATGGATAACTAACAGTTACCTGCAGGAAATATCTATGTGATTACTGTAGCTCTACTTACAGGAATAAAGATCCTCATATCTCCATATTGCAGATAATGAGATTAACGGATTTCAATGATTACTCAGATGTTGAGATGATGTTGCAAATGCAATCACTCCAAAAATAATCTGTTTAGAAAACGAATCAGTTGTAGTGAAGAGGCCACAGGGACAATGCACTAACATGGCCATTCAAAACTTCAGTTCACCTGGCATTATGTTACTCACCTTAGGCTCTGGGTGACTGTTCATGGCTCGGATCTCCAAGAAGTTAAATGTCAGCTCTATCTGCAATGAACAACACATTTTGCACCTATTTGTTAACATGCTGATAATTATGTGCATGGTAAATGGTACAGTGGGGGGAAAAAGTATTTAGTCAGCCACCAATTGCGCAAGTTCTCCCACTTAAAAAGATGAGAGAGGCCTGTAATTTTCATCATAGGTACACGTCAACTTTAACAGACAAATTGAGGAAAAAAAATCCAGAAAATCACATTGTAGGATTTTTAATGAATTTATTTGCAAATTATGGTGGAAAATAAGTATTTGGTCACCTACAAACAAGCAAGATTTCTGGCTCTCACAGACCTGTAACTTCTTCTTTAAGAGGCTCCTCTGTCCTCCACTCGTTACCTGTATTAATGGCACCTGTTTGAACTTGTTATCAGTATAAAAGACACCTGTCCACAACCTCAAACAGTCACACTCCAAACTCCACTATGGCCAAGACCAAAGAGCTGTCAAAGGACACCAGAAACAAAATTGTAGACCTGCACCAGGCTGGGAAGACTGAATCTGCAATAGGTAAGCAGCTTGGTTTGAAGAAATCAACTGTGGGAGCAATTATTAGGAAATGGAAGACATACAAGACCACTGATAATCTCCCTCGATCTGGGGCTCCACGCAAGATCTCACCCTGTGGGGTCAAAATGATCACAAGAACGGTGAGCAAAAATCACAGAACCACACGGGGGGAACTAGTGAATGACCTGCAGAGAGCTGGGACCAAAGTAACAAAGCCTACCATCAGTAACACACTACGCTGCCAGGGACTCAAATCCTGCAGTGCCAGACGTGTCCCCCTGCTTAAGCCAGTACATGTCCAGGCCCGTCTGAGGTTTGCTAGAGTGCATTTGGATGTTCCAGAAGAGGATTGGGAGAATGTCATATGGTCAGATGAAACCAAAATATAACTTTTTGGTAAAAACTCAACTCGTCGTGTTTGGAGGACAAAGAATGCTGAGTTGCATCCAAAGAACACCATACCTACTGTGAAGCATGGGGGTGGAAACCTCATGCTTTGGGGCTGTTTTTCTGCAAAGGGACCAGGACAACTGATCCGTGTAAAGGAAAGAATGAATGGGCCATGTATTGTGAGATTTTGAGTGAAAACCTCCTTCCATCAGCAAGGGCATTGAAGATGAAACGTGGCTGGGTCTTTCAGCATGACAATGATCCCAAACACACCGCCCGGGCAACGAAGGAGTGACTTCGTAAGAAGCATTTCAAGGTCCTGGAGTGGCCTAGCCAGTCTCCAGATCTCAACCCCATAGAAAATCTTTGGAGGGAGTTGAAAGTCCGTGTTGCCCAGCGACAGCCCCAAAACATCACTGCTCTAGAGGAGATCTGCATGGAGGAATGGGCCAAAATACCAGCAACAGTGTGTGAAAACCTTGTGAAGACTTACAGAAAACGTTTGACCTGTGTCATTGCCAACAAAGGGTATATAACAAAGTATTGAGAAACGTTTGTTATTGACCAAATACTTATTTTCCACCATAATTTGCAAATCAATTCATTAAAAATCCTACAATGTGATATTCTGGAAAAAATTATCTCATTTTGTCTGTCATAGTTGACATGTACATATGATGAAAATTACAGGCCTCTCTCATCTTTTTAAGTGGGAGAACTTGCACAATTGGTGGCTGACTAAGTACTTTTTTCCCCACTGTAAATACTGTACATAGAGATCATGACGGCTACCTTTGTTGGAACCTTGGCAGCCAAGAGATAGAGTCTCCATGTTGTGAGAACCTGAGACAGCCAGAGAAACAGGAAAAAATCCATCCTGAGCAAAAGTTCACTGCACACTCAAGACTCGCTAAGGGCATCAGATTCTCTGATGGGTTGCCACGGTAATGCAGAGAGTGAAATGTGGAGTCCTCTCTGTATTAATCTATTGATCTGGGTAGGAATCTTTTTTCCACAGCATCATGCTACGATGGGCTGAGCAGTACACTGGGGATGATTGCATTCTCAGGGTGTGAATTAAGATGTTCTATAGAAATGATTACAACAACAATAGTTACATAGGGAAGTCATTAAAAGAAACCACACAGATGCACTGCACATACACACACACCCACACGCAGACGTACTGTAAATGTACGCTCACACATGCAATCACCTTGAGCTACAAACACAATCTCTATGCCCTGTTCTCATGCTCCTTCTGTCCATATTTTGGGGGAGAATGAAGAATCTTTAGTAAATATTGTTCAAGCACAGTGTAACATTTTCATCAGATGAACAAACATATTTTTCAGATGCTCGCTCTCTCCCTCCCTCTCTCTGACTCTCGTCCTTTGCTCCTTTGCTCCTTCCTCTCGGATGCCCCCTTTAAACAGCACTCTGAGGAGCAGCTAAGGAGGGATGGAGGAACATTTCTCTCCTCTGCATTTCTCTCTCTGGCTATCGCTCTCATTTGTTCTCTCCCTAGTAACACTAGTACACAGTATGCCCTCCTAATGAAATGCAGTAATTAAATTACGGCTCCCCCTCTCTGTTGCATTTCGAGAGAGAGGTGCTTGACTCTACCCATTAGAGCCAAACACTTGCCGGCAGCCACAACACCCACACACAACAACATCAAACCCCCCACAACGAGGGGTGTGTCTGAACTTAGAGAGAGAGAAAAGAGAGAGAATGAGAGAATAAAGAGAGAGAGAGTCTCCTGTATTTCCACCACTTCACTTCAAAGATACTGTGTCTGAAGGAGTTGATTAAAACGTGAGGATAGTATCACATTAACGTAATGAGTTGGGGAGGGGTATCCTGGGTAGGGGGTGGAGACTGTGTGTGTGTACTGTACCATATGAGTATATACAAGTCAATCATGCTGATGGTGCAGGAGGGTGGGGAGACAGTCCCCCCAGGAGAGAAGGGTGGGGAGACAGTCCCCCCAGGAGAGAAGGGTGGGGAGACAGTCCCCCCAGGAGAGAAGGGTAGGGAAACAGTCCCCCCAGGAGAGAAGGGTAGGGAGACAGTCCCCCCCAGGAGAGAAGGGTGGGGAAACAGTCCCCCCAGGAGAGAAGGGTAGGGAGACAGTCCCCCCAGGAGAGAAGGGTAGGGAAACAGTCCCCCCAGGAGAGAAGGGTGGGGAGACAGTCCCCCCAGGAGAGAAGGGTGGAGAGACAGTCCCCCCAGGAGAGAAGGGTGGAGAAACAGTCCCCCCAGGAGAGAAGGGTGGGGAAACAGTCCCCCCAGGAGAGAAGGGTGGGGAGACAGTCCCCCCAGGAGAGAAGGGTGGGGAGACAGTCCCCCCAGGAGAGAAGGGTGGGGAGACAGTCCCCCCAGGAGAGAAGGGTGGGGAAACAGTCCCCCCAGGAGAGAAGGGTGGAGAGACAGTCCCCCCAGGAGAGTCCTAATCAAAGTCTTCCAGATCAAAGGGACATACCACACTCATCATGGTCATTGTGGCATATAATTATGCATGTGTCTGTTTTTGGAGCAGAGAAGCCTGTCTTTTCATATTAGATTGATAAGGGAGTGAGGCAACTGTTATACACGAACAAGATACTTCCAGTACCTGGTTAAATAATTCACAAGCAAGGGAACCAAAGCCTCATTTACAGTACATTGACCACGACATGAAATAAAAACAATGGCCCTAGCCCCAGCCTGAACTTGAACCCGCCTTATAGCAAACAAGCCTAATAGCAAACAAGCCTTTCACCCTTCCCGTTCCCCAAGCCGTTACCTTGACCCCTTAAATCCTAACCCTCATCCTAAGCCCCACAGAGACTACAATTACAGACCGTTCAGAGTAAAAAAAAGGAACAGTTTAGCAGAGAGATTGGACAGAGAGGATTGAAGAGATAACATAGTACCAACAGATAGACAGACATATCAAAGTTCCTGAATATCAAAGGGTGCACATGCAAAACTCTTCAAACTTGCCCCATAATGAATCATTAATCACTCATCAAAGGAACGACTCCCTGCCAAAGCCTGCCCAGCTGGGGGTGTGAGCCCATTGCCTCATCAGGGAGTTGAGGGGAGGGGTGGTGGTAGTTTTTGGGCAGCACAAAAACATGAAAACATTTCAATGCAGTTTTATGTAGAGTTGTTACACTCTTATAAAAAAGTGTTCCATAGGAGAACCCCTTTTGGTTCCAGGTAGAACCATTTTGGGTTCCACGTAAAACCCTCTGTGGAAAGGATTCTACATGGAACCCAAAAGTGTTCTACCTGGAACCAAACTTTTTTTTTCAAAGGATTCTCCAATGGGGACAGCCGCAGAACCCTTTTAGGTTCTAGATAGCACCTTTCTTTCTAAGAGTGTTGAGCAGCTTCAGTTATTTGGTCGGTCTGTTTCTTATACTTTTCCCTATTTGCTGTAGGTTGTGATCTATACTAAAAGAGCTCACTGGCCCAGATTTAGTCCTGTGAGCTGGCAGGGCTGCAGCTCCTCAAATGGAGATTTCACATCTTTGCCCCATATTCTCTGATGAAAGCACCCAGTATCAAAGGGAGTGGTCCGCCCGCGCCCGGCATTGCCTCCACTGCCATGGTCTCAGAGAGACAGAGCCTCAAACAGATCCCTCCCCAAGCTGCTGCTATTACAGACCTCTCTGTCCTACATTGTCCCAATATAGAGCCCAGGCACAGCCAGGGATGGGGAAGCAGCAGCCTATCAACTTAATATATTCATGGCAAGTGGCCAGTCTGGCCATAGCTTGCGCTCAGTGTATAATTGACCATAGTGATTAATTGCACATCAATACTGCCTATGTTGCATCATGTCTCTCATAGACCACCCATCAGGTTTCCATCCAATGTGTTATGGAGTATCCATCCACTGCATCAGACTTGTTTTTTGGCGTAGTGAGGGGTGGAATAGTACTGTGTATGGATGGCCTGGAGAGCTCCTCTATATCAATAGCTCAACAATGATCTTTGGGAATACCACCCACTCAGTCAGCACATCAATATAGCAATTACTGTTTTCACCAGTGTAAGTTATTTAGAGACACTACTCACCAGTATCCTATCCTCTGATTTGCCATTTTTGGTTTCAA